TGTCGCAAAATTTAACAAAGAGTTCGGACAATAAAGCAGGATTGTGAAACATGTCCCTGGAAATTACTACTGGTTTATTTATATTTATTTTACTGGGCAAAAGCCTGTATATGGACGGTCAAGTGGGTGAGATCTAAATGAGTCAGCAAGACTTGGGCACGAGATTTATCAAGAAGAGTCAGTGAAAGAAGACCTGTATGAGCGACTGATACTTTTCGGTTGCCCAGGTCGAAGAACAGGATTTGGTTGAGGTACCACATCGTGGACCTCTGACTCAAAAATCTGACCCATGAGGCAGTGGAATAAGGTATGGGTTTTCTGGAAACCCTTGCCGTAGCTTCCCACCAAGAAATACTACCCATAAGACAGCGATTGTTGGGGTTTTTTGGGGAAATTCTTCCGGAGCCAATAATTTATTAGTTCGAGTCCCTTAACTGCAAGGGGCGGGCTTGGTCCGAGAAGGATTGGATTAAGACATACCTTCTGATAATCAGAGGGTAAGTCTTACGTCAGGTACCTTATGAGCATTACCAAATTCTTGGATTATAAAATTATTACGGCCGAACTGAACAATTCACTGGCTGTGAGGTTCATCTGTTAGTGATCCCAATGTTCGTATTTTACATCCGATTTTTTATATCTTTTCCTTCCTGGGAGGAAGGCAGCATAGTTGCATCCGTAAAAACGGACAAGCTGATCAGCTAAAGAAGAAACTTCACTGCGTTTTCACTTTTATCACAAATTATCACAGTTTCACCTCCCGACTCATAATACGATTTCGAGCAATACGGAGACTAGTTGTTTTTTGTTGGAATGCTCCCCGCCGACCTCCATGTTATGGCTGAAACCTAAGAGACTGTGAGGAATTTCATCATGGTTTGTAAGGATCGCTCATCTACTCCTGAGTTTCCCAAGTAGTATCAGTAGATATCCACAGTATTTCTACAAAAGCAAAGGACATAAATCCAGTCATAAAGGAGGCTCAAGTGAAACCCAGGTGAATCTTTCGTTTATGGTATACTACAACTGACTGTGTTCATAAAAGCCATCTTATCTTTCACCTGACAAGATATTCCAGATAATGCGCCCACCTGATGAGCTGGAAAAAGGGCGAACTCGGTCGTAAGATGTCGGAGAGTTTTCGCCAGCCTTATCAGTAGTTTCCCCTAAGAAATGGTATCAAATCAGGCTACCAATAGTTCTTACATTAAGTGCATGAATCAAATTTGAAGGATCTGCCCTTGTGTAATCAAAACATTTTTTGCATTATGTTGACTGTCCAGTTAAGGATACTGATCCCCAAAATCCATTTTGAAGGAATAGAATCCACAAGAACACTAGAATTTTGCTAATCGCTCGGTTGTTTTCTATTTTCTGGACACTCATTGATCGATTGTTCTCACTCTCTGTTATCCTCACATTTCGCCTGGACGTGTCACACACACTTAAGTTAGTCGCATTCCCCAATCACTCGCAAGTCGCTTGGGCAGACTTGTCCAGGTGTGCCACTTGAACAGGCATGTGCTGAACTGTGGTCTGACTTGCTTTCTCGTCGCGTTATCGAGAACACTGTAGCCGCTGTTTCGCTTCGTACACATAGTGGATGAATGTGAGCCAGAAGCTCGAATTAACCTAGTTACTTCTACAAGTCTTATTTTCGTCCGGTTCCAGTATGACAGAAGTTTTCTGGGGTCCATTGAGTCAAAGAAGTATGTGGGATCTTCTGTTTAGCAATGCTACTGTTGAAATTGACATATTGGTGTAGTTAGCTTTGATCTTGCTATGGCATTTTTAATTGTGGTAACTCTGACATGCAAATCGGTGGCAGTTAATGCGTTATTTGATGGGCCCCAAGGTGAAAAAGCAGTGTTTTCTAGAGGTGTTTGAAAACGACCTCAAATTCAGTAAGATTGGTCCTGTTTCTCTCTGTGTCTGCATTTGTTAAAGGCGAGTGTTCATTGATTTTTTCCTTATTGAATAGTGGTTGCACGGCATTGCTAAAAACACACCACGCAGATGTAGGAGTGTAGACTGCGGATCGCGTAGGATCAGTTGTGTGTGTTTAGGCCTGTCTTAGCTTGTATGCAAAAATGTAAAGACCGTTTGTGCCTTGGATGTAACTGGTACTTAAGCCAAATGTACTCACACATTGCTTGACACATTATTTGCTGGCTCCTAAATCGCTGTAGACTGGATGTAGAAACCCAAAGCTGAAACTGTAATCACCTGAGTAATATCACGTGGCTGAACGAGTTTGGTTTACATACGCTGGAGTGATATTGAATTTTATTTAGATAATGGGATACAGCACGTGCATGACAAACTGAGAGACGGTGTGTGTGTTTGGTTTTTCAGGTGACTTTATCAATTGTAGTGTATCTTTTTGCAAAATTTGGTAATGCTGAATCATAAAAGCCGTTAACCTTATTGCAGTCCAGTGCTAAATTAGCAAACGGAGCAGATACTGACAAATAATAGTTTGAGTAGTCGTCTGCGTAAATAAGATGTAGGGATTTGTTTTTGCAGTAAGCGGTTGCGTCAAACTTAAGCTTGCAGTGCTTCTTTTAGTTTATTGAGTACCCGAAATCCGAACCCTCCAAATTTGAACACTATGATCACAATGATTATACATTTAGCATAATGATTGTTTTGTAGCTATGATTTTAATGATTTGATTAGAGAGAGGGGACACACCCTGGGAAGAGAGTAACCACCATTAATTCAACAATTAGTAGATTATATATGGTAGCCCACTCCGGCAAGCAGTACCCTCCAGATCCTTGCTTATTGTGGAGGATTTAGACGGACAGAAATCGTTTTGCGTTCTAAGATGACCCCTCACAATTTGATGACACTACTGAACTTTGCCATTCAGTGAATGCGACAAAACTTCATCCTTCGACACAGCAAACAAGCACAACCAAATCTTTCAACAGGTTAAGCGGTGAGAAAATAAGGCGACACCCACAAAGTACTTACACCACCTAGATCCTATGCCAGCTATCGTTCCAAGTCCCTCGGTTACAGAACTAACGTCACTGAAGAACCACAAGCATCAATACATTTTATTAGTTGGTCTTCTAGTCTGTCATCGAGATAATTATTATTGACCCAGTTTAAAACGGGCAAAGATTTAACCTTCAGCAACAGCTTACGATACTAGCGCAGTTACACGTAAAAAATGGCAGTCTGCCGAAAACCAAAAAGAATGAGTACCAACAAAAAGATTAATTAAGGGTCTGACGGAAGCAGGCTACTCTGTGATCACGGTCAGTAGCTGTTCGGTTGGACTTGAGGCTGTTAATATCGACGGATTTTCAGACAGGGAGTTTGCGTTTGATATATTGGAAGGCAAGTAGTTAGTGTCATCAAATTCCAGCCAAGGAAGAACGTAACGAGACTTAGACAATTGGACAATCAACCTTTTAAAATAAAAAAATACGTTTTAAGAAAAAAGGGTGCGAAAAAATATGATCAAAGCTCATAGATAAGCAGACCTAGAACTGATTGGTTCGTACGTAGTACATAATGAAATAATGACGTTGGTCCCCCCTTGAAGACTGCATGAACTACAATGTGGACACTACTGGGAACATCAACAGGCTGTAAACGGGAAAGCATACGTAATACAGGGGCTCGTGGGCTTGGAACTGTACGTATGTAGGTAGCCATAGCACCAGTGCCCCGTTGGTAGCGAAACCTGCTTTACAGTGGATTTTAGATCAGCAAGAAGAACTACTACATCATTCACTATAAAACATGTTTCGGGCACGTGCTGTTTGGTTAAGTCAAATTTCTTCTGGGTAATCAGTCGTCAGGGTATTACTGTATTGGCGAAAATGATGCAGGAACGTCAGTATATGCGACGGACATAGAATTCGGGTGATTTGTGCTCTGAACAAGACTTGCACGGACGATCAGGTAGGTAGCCTAAAAACGAAATTGGTCAGGACATTTTAAAATAGAGTACCCCCCAGACGCTAGCGTCTATTCCAGATGGCGTGGTAACTAATGACTTGACATCGTGAAGACAACGCAATACAAAAACCGAGTTTAAGATGTTTCGTGTTGTGGAAACTTACCGATTGGTTGAATGCCACCGTTATAGTGTTTCAAAAAGTCAACGCCAGTCAATCATAGAAAAGTCTAATGTGCTCGGATAACACAAACAAAAGAAACATGTTTTTAGTACTACTACATTGTTTGCCTATTCTTAACAGAGATGTTGGTTCGCTTTATTTTCATGCTTACTATTAAATCTACATTTAGACTGTCAGTATTTGAAACTTTCCAAAGTAATGAGAATTTAGATGTACTTGAATGACCTGTGAATGACGTGGTAGTAGTCCGGACTGGAAACCATTAAACGCCTAAAGTACAGCCATTGCATGCAGCACTTCTAGCTAATTCCATGTTGCCCGGCTGCTGACCATGTTGTTGAATCGTACCAATTGCACGAAAACCATCGAAATTCCAACAACAAAAAGTATCGTGATTAATGAAGGGCAATTCAAAGGTCACTCAGCTGACATGTTTGTTTCATTTACAAAGTGTAACCGCACGTTGCGTATTTGTTTGTTTCATTTAACAAGTATAATCGCATAGTGCGTATTTCTTGGCATTCCTTGATGGCATATATTCCAGGGATGTCCCTCAGATTTAAAGCTTCTCCCATTTATGAATAGGTGTGGGGCTGATTGCTGAGAAAAAATGGTTGCCTAAGGTTACCAACTTGGATGACTTATGGAGACCTGTGTGTGCTGCGTGGTCCTCCCAGCACAGTACATTAATAAGCAGGTGAAGATAAGAGTGACAGCTAAATGAGTGCTTGAGAAAACTTGATGTTTTGAACGGACCGTGGTTGTCAGGACGATGGAGAGAAACTGATAAGCGTTCAAATCGAAAAATGTAGTATTAGCCAAATTAAGTACACGTAGATTGTCAAACGTTTGTTTACTGTTTGTGTCTTCATCTTATCAACCCAATTTTCTCATTTTCAGATGGAAAGGCAGTCTATACAAACTTGTCTGGATAGACTTACTGATCTACATCACGGCATACTACATCCTCAACCTATCTTACCGATTTGCAATGAATGACAGTCAGAAGCGGTAAGTCTCATTAAAGTCACCGCTCCCAACGTTTTTCATTCTTTCTGCTCTGGTACTCAGCAGAAGTTGCACCCCATATGCGGCAATTTTCAGGTTTCCCAAGTAACAGAGGATGTTTTTGGGGTTGAATCAGTGCGAGCACTCATAAGCCAGATGAAAGACGGGTCTCCCTAGTTTATCGATGCTTACTGTTGGTTGAAGTTTGAGCTGCTCGGCACTACATTACTTCATGGATTATCAGCGAAGACTCTGTATAGCCTGACCACTTAAGGAGATTGCATCAATTACGATCCAATGTGGACATTAACAGTTCTTGTGCAGACAAACAGCATGGTACCATTCTGTTTGACAAGAATGGTTATAGCAAAATTAATACAGTTTTGGATGACGGAAGTGATTTTCTGCTGATTCGATCAAGAAAAACAACTTGACCGATTAGGGGGGCGCGCACGGAATATAATGAAACAATTACTGGCTAAAAACAGTTTTTGAAACATTTCGTAGTCTCACACCCGGAAGCACAAGATGGGCACGTTTGTGTGGCCCGCCTAATTTGCACGAGGCGAGAATTCACTTCAGACCGGTTCCTCTGATGACAAGCACACCTTCAAGCGAAATGGCTGAGCGGTTGGTGAATGTTATGGAGCTTACTGAATAGTGTTGATCAAATTTCAGCTTGAAAGGTGGTTCCGAAACTGTCGAAAAAATTGAGGATAATGGAACCTCTGATACTCACCTAGACGCTTCTGGTGTGCAATCTTTTTCACATCTGTTCCACTCAAAGAAGCCACTGAAGTGACAATAATACATGCGCATTTTATGTCCACTCCTAGCAAAGTTACAGAATCCCTTGGTAGTGTGTACGAAAGATTTACAATTTGTACTTGATAGACATTTTCATTAACGGATAGATGGTGAAGTTTGAAGCAGTCTATTAAACCCCATTTCCGCTGATATGTGATATTTCAACGTCATCTCTTGAGGATAAACGACATTGAAAAATTGCACTTCGACAGTCGATATGCAGACGACGCATTTAGAAGTTCAGTGATTCCCAGCACCCACACCCGAATGGTCTGCACTCGCTTCACAATAGGTTCAGAGGAAACCAACTAACTTGACTTTCTAAGTGTGTCGGTTTTTCGGGTAACGGATGGATTGATATGGATATCTTACCACAGGTCTTCCCTATGCAGATAATTGCGCTTCAAGACCCTCGATCCGATTAGCTGCTAGTGGGCAGTTGTGTGCGGAGTATTTGTATGAGCAAATACAATCTGTTCAGGCAGAGCGTTTCCACCAGGATGTTTTTACCTATACGAGTGTCTTGAGGTAAGTGAGTGCCCCAGTGTTATTCTACGGAGGTGCTCACCGTCGATCGCTTTGCTGCATCCAGTTTGTGTCAAAGAAGTTTACATTGAGCCGACATTCAAAGAAGTCAGTGGTCGGATCTGTCGTCCTTCTCCTACTGTCACATTATTATGTTTGTCACAAATGACACGACTGTCGGTTTAGTTTGTCAGGGATTGCAAATATGTCTACCCTAAACTGATGGACACTTATTAGTTGACCAAAGAAAATGTGGCCATATGCACACATTCCGAATCTTTCGCATGGATGTGATTTGTTGAGGGATGGGGAACCCAGGCTTGGAGATCTCCCCGTAGGACTACTGTTGCATCAGAGGGCCGCTTCGAAGATGGCGCTGCTTAGAAGGTGCAACACACGGTATTCTTAAAGAAGATCTCTTTCTTCTCTCTTCTCTTTCCGAACAGAGTCCTTTTCTTAAAAATGAGCCAAGCGTTTTCAGCATGTGTATGCTGTGCAAACAGGTGGTCAAAAATTTATAAAAACACGATGGGACAATGGAGCTAGAAAAACGGCGGTGCTTATTCCTAAAGCCCAACAACTGCTTCGGACTTTTGAAAGCCACATCGCTCATATCACCAGCATGGAGAGTGTTAAATAGACTACGAAGAACCAAACGCCCGTAAGCATTCTGATTCACCGAAAGAACTAAAGAGCAACCTGGACCTAGTCATTACCAAACCAGACACCTGTGAAGATATTGTGGTTATAAGAGGGATTACGCATCAAGACCAACTGAGCCACTATGATAAGAAGGCAGGATTTTATGAGATATTATTCCTTAAGACCAAACCAAAAGGATGAAATTGAACTGACCATGTGCTTGAAGGAACGTAGAGATCGACTTATTTTTACTTGCTCAACAGCAGAAATTCCAATGCAACCGATTGTTGACATGATCAGTTCCCCTTGACAGGTTATATCACCGTGTCTGGTTGCACATTTTGTGCTGTCGTCTGCCTGACACTTCAACTTGTTGACTTAATAAGACAGATCGATGTGAACCATAGAACCATAATTTCCTTTCAGTATATCAGCTTTTCAGCCATCTGGCACGAGTACTTTTTAATCACCGGAAAATCGGAAGACATTGGGGATACATTCAAACATAGGGGGATTGCCATGTTCGGTTAGTTTGAGGACTATGCAGCTACACATTGAAGGCAATAGCTTTGATGCACAAGCACCACTGACTGCGAGACAGCCATTTCTGCCAGTGTCGTCAACCATTGGGTTATGTGGTCCGCATCCAGGAGAGCGGCTGTTGTCAGTCCCGCTGGGTTGGTTGGTTGGTGTTTTCATACTTCGTTTCCAGGCCATGCACTGTCCATCATTCGGTCGTTTCTACTCGGCGCAGGGATGGAAGAAAAGTGCTATGTCAGGTAGACGGTCTTCTTGCATACGAAGTATATGTCCTAACCGTCGTAAACTATGAAACTCATCTATTTTGAGAAAGTGATTTTTTGTTAAAACCACCCGAAATACCTTAGCATTAGTAGTCCGACGTTCTAATCAAACACATTCAGTGCTTCGAAGACACCATTGGTTAAACAGCGAAAGCTTTCCTTCGCTCTTTGCGTGTAGAGGCCATGTTTCTGATCCACAAAACAGTGTGGATTAAAATGCCACAGTCTTAACTCTTGGTGATGTGGTGAAATATTGGTAGCTCAGGTGAGTTTATTGGTTGTTGATCAGATAGCTGTTGATCTGTTCGCCGAGCTTGGAAATTGGCTTGCAAACGTTTCGTCACCATACGAGGAGACATCATCAGTGCGCAGTTTGGTGGGTACTTATTCCTTGCCTGTGTGTGTTTATATAGCAGTCAAAGGCTAGCTGTTATCTTCTGACGTGATTGGCTACCTGAAGTGTAACGAGTCTAGTGAATCTTGATGCGTTGTGGTCTCTGTTCCTTTGTGTTGATTGGTTATCCCAACGGCTTCTTATTTTAGCAGCTTGNCTTGATTCGCATTGCGTTGTGGTCTGCCGTTATCGAGTTTGATTGGTTGCTTGTACCGCCCGATTTCCTCCACCGTGGCGGTTGGTGTCCCTGCGTCCGCCGGTTGGTTTGGTGCTTTGATTGGGCGCCTCCTCCAATCCAATTGATTTGTCCGTTTGAAGGACGCTAACCTGATTTTTGTATGATTTCCTCTTATGGTCGCTTTTGCAGCTCTAAGTGCTGTGGTTCTGGCGTTCTCTCGTTCTTAGTGGCTGGTAAATGGGATCAATTTCGATGTGTTTGTTGATGGCTTCTTCGGTGGAGTACCACGCCTCCATAAATTCGCGTTCTCGTTTTGTTCTTGCTTGAGCCAGTATGCGAACGCCGTTCCAGTCGAACTCGTGTCCTTCTTGGTCTTTGTGTGCGGAGTTGAGGGAGAATTGATCGTGCCTTTTAGTCGCGAGTTTGTGTTTATGTATTCTGGTGGAAAGCTTCCTTCCTGTTTGTCCTACGTACCGTTTGTCGCAGTCCTTGCATTGGATCCTGTATATGACATTGTTCTTCGCCACTGGATCTAATTTGCCCTTTGGTCTTGATAGTGTCCTCCGCAGAGTATTCGCAGGCTTGTAGGCGACCATTGTATTGTGCTGTCATAGGAGCCTTGCCGTCATTTCAGCGGTGTTCTTGGTGTACGGAAGTGTTTCGGCTCGTGATTCGGCCACTCCTCGCTTCTACGGACTCCCGAAGGTACACAAAGTATCAATACCTCTCCGGCCAATTGTATCACTTCCTGGATTAGCGACCTACAATCTTTTGAAAGAACTATGGAAAAGATTTAAGCATCTCATCAGTGGGTCTCAACACTCAATCAACAAATTGGGACAATTTTGGAGAAACTAAAACACGTAAGCATCGATCAGGACGAAATAATGGTCTCATTTGATGTGAGCTCACTATTCACGTCTGTGGACCTGGATTCGGCTAAGCCAACTGTGGCCGAATTATTGGACAACAACGGCACGCCAACTGGATCACTGGAGGAAGAAGACCTCTGCAGATTACTCGACCTATGCCTGATCACACATTTCGTGTTCAACGGAGAATATTATAAACAACTACGAGATGCACCAATTGGATCGCCAATTTCAGGATTCATTGCAAAAGTCACAATGCAAAAGTTGGAACAAATTGTGTTGCCCGATATAAATCCCAAAACATGGATCCGTTACGTGTACGATACATTTGTGATCATCAAAAGGAGCCAACTGCAACGAGTGAGCCAACTGTTACACTTCAGGTAGCCAATCACGTCAGAAGATAACAGCTAGCCTTTGACTGCTATATAAACACACACAGGCAAGGAATAAGTACCCACCAAACTGCGCACTGATGATGTCTCCTCGTATGGTGACGAAACGTTTGCAAGCCAATTTCCAAGCTCGGCGAACAGATCAACAGCCATCTGATCAAGAAGCAATAGTCTTAACTCTGCCGTTGACATACAGACTCATGTCACATCAGCATCACAGGTATCGGAGGTTAGAAAACGCTGCCCTGGTTTCCTCGACACATAAGTAATTTCATCTTCAACCGGTTAGGTCCACTGGAACTTATACAAATGTCAAGGTAAACATATATTTACTCCGTCGGTTGTCTTGCCTGCAAGCATGAGGTTTGGGTGTGATCTCAACCAGTGCTGTAGAAGCGCTTTACACATTCCAGGTGTGAATCGTATTTCTTAACCGTGCAGCAAAATCATTAAGGCTATTTACAATGGTCTGCATCGTCGAAGGTTCTGAACCAGGGAGAGCAATTTTGCCTGCATGCTTGTGGATGAATGTCCCGCGCGCATTGTTAACCACTACGTTTCAGGGGCAGGCGGAGAAACTTCAAGCAGCACATCACTAAAATGTTGAGGAGGAAGCGTACTGGAGGATAGCTCCGTATCACACCACTGAATGTGTTAAACTCAGACATTGTCGTTGACTGGTCTTAATCCACGGGAGTTCGCATGCAATTCCCCTCAAAAGGATATGAACTTGGATGAGTCACCCTTGATGGTCAGGTACCGCCAAGTTTTCTGACGACCAAGAGAGAGTTTTCAGAGCAGGGGAAAACTATCAACGTAGGAAGTTATAAATACTGGCGCTATTGAAGAACTTGTCTCAAAGTCATGGTATGTATATGCATTCCCGGCCAGGAAGAAACATACCTTGTTTCTCGCGCGGTTTCCTCTTCCGGTGGTCGATTAACTTGAGCAAAATGATGTCAGAGAGCAACGGTTACCAGAATTGGGACACGAAGGGTTTTACATGACCGTTCACAAGGGCCGCATCACCTTCTTTAAAGAGTGCGGGGTGCATACCATCCGGAATACGTGCAGCAATTCGTTTAGGAAGTGATATACCACGCTGAATTTTTGTTGTTGACAGTGGGCTGATGTCATTTCATTCAGGCTCACTGGGTTCATCCAACGACTGTGTTGACGGGGACCAGTTTGACTGTTCTTTAAAGTATTCAGGCTATTGATGAAGACGGAAATTTTCTAAATAGACTGCTGTTCCTTATTTTTTGTATATTCTTCTGCTGACATTTATCTCTTTTGGCTGGTTGACCGAATCAGCTGAAGGGCACGGCTGTTGCTTGCAGCGGAAACGTTACCTATCCCTTGGGCCTTCACAATTCGCCAGAATTCTCTGTCATTATTCAAACTGTGTGTGCGCCATCACGGTCGCTAGCTGCTGGTATGTCATTTTTGGTAGAAACAAGTTCTGCTGATCTCAACCGTACCCACCGTTAAGTTAAACCAGTCTGATAGCTTCGGCAGAGAAGTCTAAAAGCTGAGAGCATAGTTTCATCAACTCGGTTCCATGCAACTTGTGAGCATGACAATGCGCTTCCAGTAACTTTTAAGCCATATCAACTCAATATTCCTAAGCTCCTGAGACTTCTCAAACCTGGTGAATGGAGTTGCTTTGCCTTGGAATGAGTAAAGCTGCCAAAAATCTAAATGATAACAGGGCTCCCACAGTGATGTGATCGGAGTCAAGTTGCGTACATCAGATGGGACGTCCGTCTATAATTGACGCTATTTACCGATGACTGACAACCACATGATATATCTGCGTCCATAAATGTCTTGCGATTGGTGTCCTCAAAGTAACCGAGTGTTATCGTTTGTGCTGCAATTTCATAGTGGCCATAAATAGAAGGTGATTAGCACACTACTCAACAGGTCGCTTCATATTATCCTTCCACTATTCATCGACCCCAAATCTAATATCTACATTTGTTTCTTCCGGGCATGTTCATCCAGCTTTGGCATTCATACCACCCATCAGGATTAATGTAACTGTTCTTCTTGCTGACCAAAGCAGTCTCGACAGGTCTCGTCCTTCTGAGTCTCAGAAATGCAGTGGGGGCATGCCAACACGAAAAATAAAACCCTTTTGACGCGTCAACCTGCACTGACCTTAATTGAGCCAGACGACGGCCTGGCGGAAAGAAGATAGTTTACTAGGATCCAGTCCATTGAAACTCTGACAGCCCTGCACTTGAGTACGAATCTCACACCACAGATACCACCAGCCAGGATCGCCAGACACTCCAGAAAGGGAATGTGGAACACCTAAGCGGCCTGAGGTGCATAAATTATGTGGGGACTTGTATGCGGGTTTCGGAGACAGTATACACAGGTAGACCACAGTTTCGATAATAGATACCTGTTGCCCAATTCGTCAGGGTGTACGGACAAGAAAGGCTGCGAAGTGGATCAAACACTTGCAAACTACTAAGGGATTATTTACTTTAATCTTAGTGGGCTTGGTAGGGGATTGTCAGGCTAATTGACCGCCTTGCATCTTTCGATGGATGCGAAGGCCGAATGAGTGAAGGCCGGTGAGCAAAGAGCCGCAGGGGAATTAGCACAGCCACCTCCATAAATAAGGACATTTTGATCGCCTGAAAGAAATATTTTAGTGCCTTCACACCCACAGATGAAATTATAACTTTACCTCCAGACCATCTCCTAATACGATTTCTTGCAGTACGGAGACTGGCTGTTCTTCGTTTGGCTTATTCCCGTTGAACTTCCTGACCTGGATGAGTCTTGGGGAACTGAGCTAAATCCAGTAAATCCTGCAGGATCACTGTAGCGTCAACCTCGATCACCACGTCAAGGCAGGACGCCATAAATTTACTTTATAAAGCCCCGTTATTCCGGAACACGCAGCTGCTTGAAACTAATGCCTATCTGTACACATGTGTAGAAGTTACAATCTTTGAAATAAGCCTATCACCAGGTTGTCTAGAGAAACTCCCTGTAACCTTGTAACGTTGTAACCCTGATGTAGAGTTTGGTTCTAATGAGGTCACCGCTAGACTCACTGATCACCGACACCAGTGTAGCTAAACGTGATGAAAAAGAGTTGATAGACGATATATTAGACTTCGTCCAGTACCATAGATATGGTGACGACGAATATTTGCGTTGTCGGAAAAAGTGCAATTTGGATAGGCCTAAATCTATTTCGCTATGTAAAGCGGAGTGAAAAATCATGTTTCCTTTTTGGCCCTACCGCTGACCAGAAGAACTGATGGATGAATACAAACAAGAGGTGACGGCCTGTTCGATGATTTGTTATGAATTCAAGCGCAGACATGGCACCACTTTCTTGGGTTGTATGATGCAGCTTTTGTCAAAGCAGACTAGAGAATTTTCGCTCGCCCTGGGAGATACAGGCAAATCTGTAATTCTATTCTGGCCTACATAGAAGCAACGGGACAATCCTTTGAGCAGGACATTGCTGTTGTGCCAAGTGACTAACAAGCAGAATTTCTTTCTTCCAAGTATGCCTTAATGTAGTTGCTTTACTTTTATTATTATTATAACAAATGCTATACTCAGCAAGGCGACGTCTAGGCCAGACTTCCGAATTGTACATCACATTTGCGACCTCACGCTTTTTGATCTAAAGTATTTTAAAAATGCCCTCATTTAGGTTTGAACAAAATAAGTGCCAATCTGGCGGCGAAAACACTTGCTTCGTATGCACTTGCGATATGATACGAATGAATAGGTATCAGCCTAAATTGCGTTGATGAAACAGATTTTGTAATCAGATGAAATATTGATTCCGTCCTTAAAGGTCAATGAATTAGCGGCTTGGGAATTTGTGCTATTGTGCTGCCCCTCATCCAGGAAAAAATAAGTTAATTTGATGGAGTGCAATGTGAATGGTAAACTATCGTTGACCCTCCTTGACGAAAATCCCCGTTATCGACCCAAATGGATAGGAGCAGGCTGGGATAAGGAGGTCTCCAATATTGCCAAAATTAACATTTGTCTATTCTGATTCATCCTTACTAAATGAGAGTATACTGTTTTGCTTCGCAATGTTGGCTTTTCATGGTCTCTGAGAGATATAATCTCTGCTGCGCAGCATGAAGGCAACATCTTATCCCCCCAGGCTTACGCTTGACAGCTCGATATTTTATCCAGTTACCCCTTCAATGGAAGAACTCACTGTTATAGAAGTGGTTGTTGTGGGGCTACTTTTTTTCGCAACGTCGATTGTTAAGGATTAGAGCATGGGCGTTGTAAACGCATCATTTAACTGTTTTATTAAATACCCTTTTTATGGTATCTCTCTCTGCTCTCACTGTTTTAAATGAGTAACTGGGGTATGACAATCCTATGCAAACAACTTTCTTACAAAGAAGAGTTCAGGAAGACTACAAAAATAATCCTGATACATTACACTGTGAACTTCACCAGGATATTCGAGGACATTGTGGACTTTTGTGAGAAGACCAAAGGGGATATCCCAATATCCTTTCTTCTTGGTTTCTTCGTTGCCGGAATTATTTCACGGTGGTATCGGATGTATATGTATATCCCTTGGATGAACGAAGTTGCGCTCCACGTGGCGGTGAGTAATCCTAGTGAGAATGTTTGTATCGTTCATCATAAATCTTGAACTGCTGTTGTGCATTAACTTGTAGGTATATGCATATACGCTTGAGTGACATCGGACACGTATTTAACTGTCAATAGTGGTTTAGCATCTGGGCACGCCCGCCGAAAAGCTAGCAGTCTACGCAGAACTCGATATTGTGTTGTATGCTAGACCATGAATCCAACATAACCTCGGTGTACCATAGGTAGGCAAGCACACAAGTCTCTCGTTTTGCAAGAGACTCACCTGGAACCCAGATGAATCATTCTTGTATGATGTTTCAAGTAGAACATAAGGTTGACGGAAACTTGGGGACTGAGCCTAATTTATGAACCTCAAGAAGGGCGAAACCGGTCGTGCGAAGTTGATGAATTTTTAGCAAACTTATGAGTGGTGTATTACAACACATATATGTTTAGAAGCATAGGCACTGCGTTTAAAAATGGGTTATTTGCGTGCCCATCAGTTCAGCGATGTTTCATTGCAATATACAATATGGTGTAATAATAACAGTTTGAAGCATAATATACACCTTCCATCCAAATAAATTTAAATTACTCGTAGCTACCTGTGTCTGCTGAGTCCGAAACATTTGAGTCAAAACAGACGAACTGACCACATGGCTGCGACTGGAATACGATTTTACCGTTAGAGTGTATCTTCTTGAACCCTGAACTCCAACGACACTCCTTCCACCACTGCATGTCTCATTCAAGACGTTCTCCCCTCCCTATCCTATCACAACTCCAAATCCCTGAAAGCTTTTTTCCCCGCTTATTCCAGTGCAATCTGATATCACTGAGGGGTTACCAACTGGGTAGGTGGATTGGTGTACCCAATACTGACAGACCTAGCTCCCTAAGTGAGAAGTTATAGATTGAAAAGCCACCTTTCTTGTGGATATGGATGAAATGGTTAAAATGCATGCGAATTTGGTTTAGTACTTAAATGCTCTTACACTATCGAAATTGATTAATTGTTTTAGACACAAAACAGAGACCAAATATCGCACCAGAAGCACTGAAGAAGGAGGCGAGGTGTGAATTTTTGGATCAAAATGGAAAACCTCTAAGATGTTCCGAGCAGTTCAGTAGAAACCACCCTATCGTTGTTCATTATCGGTCCGTTAAAGAGTTTCACCTCACACGTAGGATACCTGCGTGCAACCACCCAATAGATTCGATTTATGGTTGACTGGAGTCTTGGGCTAAAACCTTACGAACTGACTGCCATTGAAATGTTGCTCATGAGTGGTGCTCCTGAATCACAGATTTGTACATTCATTCAGATCGACTTCCAAAGTTTTATGACTGATTTCCATATTATTACATTTTGTACTATTACTGTTATCAACCTTCATGCTAAAAGCAACATAGGCAGGAATCTGTAAGTGCCCTTGTGTCACTTGCTGTGCCAGCTGAAAGTACTAGCAGTATCTGTTATTTCTAAGATGAGGAAAACAGTCGGCTGACACCCTTTATATATGAAACCGTGTATATGACAACAAATTGTCCTACATCAGTGTTTTCCTGAGGTTTACATTGTGTGCTCAACCTCAAAGACGTATCTGTTAAGGATAAACCTGTTCACCCGGATGACAGTTAATTTCAATGGAATGAAATTACCCGCGTTCCTCCACTGTTTAGCGGAGACAACATATTTTATGTCAGTTTAACTTCAGTGGTTCACATTGTTCACCGGATCCATTCTCACGGGAAATCCATTTACCGACGACCGTTTGGCTTGCCGTTTAGCCATCATTCATGACTTACACAAAGCAAACCATTTACTTTATCGGTATTTACTCCGGGACGTTACGGAGTAAGTTCGATGGTAACCTTCAGCATCCGATAGATTAACTTTAAAGTAGCTGTGCAAACTGCTAAGCGGCTTCAATGCCTATTTTCCATCTGCATCGTACGGTATTGCGAGGTTTTCACGATAATTGCGCACTATGAAGATTAGTGAGATGTTCCAAGAAACGAGGAGCATGCTAGGTCTTCCGTTCAACCTCGTTGAGGCCACCCATCGTGTCATCGACTGGCAGGATTCGACACTTTGGCAGTTTGCTCCGGACAGTGATGAACCATTTGGTTACCCGAAGCAAGATTGATCGGTCAGAGAAATTATCATCTTAGTTCACAGGTAGGTATTGGGCATTGTTCAGACGCCAGGGCCAACATACATTTTGGCCTTGAAAAGACAAGCTAATTTCAGGGCCTTGGTTAGCAAACAACATTAGCATGAACAGCCGTACTAAGGTGGATATCTTTAGAGGGGGATCTGACGGATACGGAAAATACGGACTGACTGAATGCTTTTGAGCAGTCGTATGAAAAGGGATATCTGATCATCTCATCGTCTGGTTTACAGTTTGCATTCCAATCATCTACACTGGGTGAACCCTGAGACAATCGCAGAAAAACGAAGTGCTTTTGTGATGATTACAAGCCCGGTCTGAACAACATCCAACCTAATCGATCACTATCACGTTGCAGTTGATGCGCAGAGCCAGCAGGAGGGAACTCGAAAGCGAGTGTTGTGATTTCAAAAATGGTAGCATAAGGATGACTAAAGCCTTTTCATTGTTAGAAGGATTGCATCCCTCTAGGTGCATTCTTCGTAAACAAATAGGACATTCGTAATTACTTCACACACTATATTTTAGCCCAAAACAAATCAACTGAGTCCCTGCCTGCATTTCACTGGATGGTTAGAATAAAGTTAGAACCATAGAGTAATATATATTCCACAGCAACGCGCATCACCACAAAATCTCGGTTTTCCTCCCTTCAGCGAACACAGTGTCACGGTTGTTTGAAAGGAACTGCGGCTGGACCCGATACCACTTACGAAGAAGCAACATTAGAAACGTTCACTTATAAGTCAAACTGGATGAGGTATACCAAATCTCAGTTGAGAAACCCTATTTCCCCAACAAACTGAGCCATTAAAGCGCAGCTGCCAGAAAAATGCAAGGACTTCAAAACCATTTGTATTACTGATTTATTAGGCATTCTGACTAGGAAAAAGGGGTCATTTAGATGATGCCGAATACCTATACCATGTTCTGAACTCGAATTCCTCATACATATTATAGTCAGTTAAATGGTGAATAGAAGACACTTTTCCAAATATCCGGACTCTCATACAGTTTCACGAGCACTGGTCTACCGCTCAGAATGGAATTATTTAATGAGAACGCGGAGTATTTCAACAGCCCAACCCTCGAAAACTGATTGAGTGTACTTCTCCGTTCACCAGGTCTAAGCTTTTGCCTCGTTAGCTATTAGCGATTCAGTGGTTGGTTTTTCTGGGGTAAATCTCTCATGTTTTCCTCATTGTGGAAGTCAAATCAGTGGCATTGTTTCTGCCATATTGTTCACAGTGAAAAAAATGTTTTTCAAAAGTCTGAGTTAACCAGACTGACGGCAGAGGCCATCTCAGCACTTTGTTCTGTCGACTAACAAGCCCATTAATATATCCATGCGGCTCCGGGAACTTTTCTAAGTATTTAGTATTGAACTATATCTTGTAGACCGTTTGCATCAATTTTCAGCCACTAATTTGTCACTGGTGTGGACATGCCAATACTGCGTTTCAAAAATTAGAGTTTTTCCGGCGTACAATTTCTATTTATATGAGTAGTTTTTGTACGCCACGGTATCTGATTTCGTTGATCCTCTTCAGCTTTTGGAAACGGTTTTGCAATTTGGATAATGAGAACCTCACATAGCCCAGTGAACTTTTAGATTTGGTGAGCTTTTGATCGATTTCGATTTTTATGGATAGTTGAAATTATTGAGTTTCAGGTTCAAAAACTTGCCTCAGCTCTTTAGAGCGGTGACCTGCATAGGACCACAGGTCTTCACTTTGTGACTTCTACCATTTAATTTTGGTTCATGCAACCATCCGGTATGGCCGGTTCCTACGGTTCGAAGTCTCTCCCAGTGAGGTCTTATGTTTTGTGTTCACTTGATAAATGCAGTTATCCCCAAGGTTACCTCACGTATTTTTCTCTTATTAAGGAAAATTCCAAAGATAATAATGCTACGACCATGCAAATTTGCTGAGATTTGCGAAGCTCTACTAATTCGTAGATCCTGATGTTGCTCTTGATGACGCACAGCTTAGCTAATATGAAACAACGAGCATTGTTTTGCACCCATCACTTTGGCAAGAACTCTTCTGTAGTCACTGTCGGACAGCTGAGTACAAAACTGGCTATCTTCCTCCTAAGAGTAAGGTGTTGCGGATAGAAGTGCCCCATAAACCAGCGAAAAACTGTCTGGCGCGATAATTTTAAATTGTCAATACTTTTGGATTTTTGTCACTTGGTTTAAGTACGCTGCTTGTAGCCGTATATAGACTTCCTGTTCCAGCGCAACCACCTGGAAATCTCACGTTGTGTGGCAATCATTAAGCTGGGAATGTGTCAGAATTTTATCACCTTAAACGTTATACTCACTTGTATATAGACAAATGGATGAAAGCACTTAGACATACTCTGCCACATCGGTTGCATGGTACATTGGAATTTACACTTTACACGAGGTTATGCAATCTGATTTTCTGTTACTCTGTGCATATACGTCATGATTTAATTTTCGAAAGTGTCGCTATCAAATTCCTAAGTTATGTTGCTTTTGAGTGTCTAATCAGCCCGCTCAATTTTTATCCTCACTGTCTAGTCCAGTATAAATGGGCGGGATGAAATCAAGACTCGAAAAATTCGGATCACAGTCATGAGATACCTCAACTTATCATGGATTCTCATGATGCGACTGATATCAGACCAGATTGCATCAAGATTTTCCTCGACTAATGCTGAGGAAGTGATTGATGAGCCTAACAGTCCTAGAAAACGACGAAAGCGTACTCAAACAAAACAAAAGATCAGCCGCAATACTTGTCATCCGTGGTCTATTGACGCCACTGATGCAATAAAACCTGCGGGATCCCACTCACAAGCTGGCTTCTCATCACGCCACGAGACATCCGCTCCCATTTCCCCAACTCCAGCCTCACCGACGACTCCACTAACAGCCCCACTAGCAACGCCTGAAACAGGTTTTCCATATACAGATGCTTTCCAAGCTGAAGACGACCCAAAACTCCGGGAAGATTTGGTTTCATTCAACCGAGACCAACGTAAGTTAAAAACAGGATGTACATTTTGCCACTAGCGATGACCAAATATTGAATATGTGACCTGGTACAAAAACCATTCGCCCAGAGAATATTGGTGTCTCAGATTGTGTAGCTTGGCTTTGTTCACTGAGCAGACCAGTCGTCTAAATATCAATCGAGGTGGCAGTATCAGTGCGCCTTTGTGAAGGGATGAGTGCAATGCACTAGTGAGAGTGACATGCGCAGTGTTGTATGCACCGATGGTGTCACCTCGATCAGTGATTAATCACTGGCAGCCCAACTTCTCAGCCGAAAGAATGCATCAACTGTCAAGTTCTAACAGAGCGTTCTGCTTCACTCACAAAGCTATTTCAAGTTACGAGAATTTGTGAGCTCAGGCTCTATTTACCGCATACGAACTAACAGATCTGCTTTAAAAGCAAAAAATTCTTCAGCTCGCATGGAACCCTTAGTTAGGAATCACCGATTGAGTTGTCAGTCAACTTCCAATCACGTGACTTACGAATCGACTGGAGGACGATAGTCTTAACGCTCCATTAAACCACATTTTCATCAGCCTGCGGTATCTGAATGGGGTATTGTTTGCCCAGAATTTATCGGGCGTTTCTGATGATTCCCAAAGAGATTGAAACAACTGTATACTCCCCTTCAACATTTTTAGGCCTATAGTGACCTCACCTGCGGGATGAAACCTGGGTTACTTCAGACCGATTACCTTCTATAGGCAAAAACATAAACACTGGTTTATCTAACACTACCAACAAAATGAAATACTAATAAACTATTTTGACCGATAGATTTAGTAACCATCGTCTTGTTTTTCGGGATGAAGGAAGTTTGGTGGTTGTTAAAATGTTGTTTCCAACTAACAGCTTTGTTATTCAACATTTAAATGCAAAGCGATATTTTCAGTCAAGAAATGGCGCTTGTCTAGAGGAATGGCCTTTCTTGAACGACTGCGAGTTGTTTCACTGCAAATGGTGGTTGGTCAAGGGGACAAATAGGGTCGTTCACATGATACCTTGCCGCCAGAAGCATCTACTTGCCTTGCACAACTCCTTAGCTGGTACGTCTAAATTGGCTGGAACAAGTCACGCCATGTGTTAATGCGGAGTTCAGTTTCCAATTTGCTATTGCATTTGAAGCAGCAGCTGACTTTTCAGAAAGTGCAGGTGCTGTATACACCGTGCTTAAAGCCCAGTTACTTTGGTTGTGCTTTTGTAGCAAATATACGTAATTTTTATAGATAGATGGAGGTATATATATATGATTGTATTTCTCCGGTTGCTTCGCGAGTCAAGCCTATATCTGTTGTTTTCGGGCTGTTCATCAAGTTGTTGTTTGCTCAACTTTGGTGCTAGCTTGAAACACCTTTGTACCATTTGCGGTCGGAGGCATGCCTCCTCCTAAGCTCATTGTGCTTATGTAGCTCCCCAAAGTTATCAGATATTTAATGATGCCGCTGGCCAGTTAAAGGGTCCCATCCCCGCAATCCCGTTAGTTCTTCCGCGACATAATTTATATTGAGGTTTATGATCCTTGTATTTATTTTGAACCTGAACATTTGTAAGTCTACAGAAGAAAAGCAGGACTGCAAATTCTACAATGATTCAATATTTCAAGGGAGTAAACACCAAGATACACCGCTGCAAATAAGAATATTTCTATGTAAAACAACTTTTCTAGGCTGATCAGAAGATAAAATGAGTGTTTTATTGTTTAAACAGTTTACAGAGTTTTTATTCTACTTCAAGGACATCCAGATCCTAGACTGGCAGTTCAGTTTTGAAGTAGCAGGGATGTTTATCAATGTTACTGAGGGCTTTCAACTGGAATTGCAACATGACATTTTTCTAGACATTGTAAGCAATGGAACATCCGATTCTTCCTTGAACCAAGATGAACCATTCACTTCAGTCTACCGTCCTACAAAGGGTGCCTCATCACAGTCACGTAAAGATCAATATACATTATTAAAGCGACAGTAATTCGACGTCTCATCACCTTCTATGGGATGATCAAGCGAAACGCTTGCGAGCGGAACAGATGCCCTAATTCTTGGGTCTTTAGGGATTGCAGCTAATGTGTACTCCTGAATAGGAACACACACCACACACATTATCTCTTTGGAAACCAAAGTGCAGTCTTTCGGAAGATTGGTAGATGATTTGAAACATATTATCAGTTCACTTCACTAATCAGTGGATTAGACTCTCTGGAAAAGGCGAAGAACATAAACAACACTGGGGACTAAATAACGGTGTCACTTGGTGTGTGTTCAAAGACATCTGGACACAATTCTTGTTAAATGGGCTGTAATTTGTCCGGAGTCGGATAATGAGAATATATAAATATTAATTCTAAAATTGGGGACCAGCGAACAGACTGCAAATTCACTGAGGCAGCATTGTGTAATGTTGGCTGAGGGGCCAGAGAACACCATGAGATGATCACCGCCAAAACAAAAAGGAGACAGACACACTCATGATGATAACTAAAGTCGGATACGAGATTCATTATTAGGGTTGCAGTGTGTTGGATAAACAAGAGGGAACCGGTACGAGATTGCACGAACATACACGTGCTGCTTGAATTTACTGGCTTGTCTGCACGAAAATCAGGATACATTGACATCAATGTAAAAATTTTTTACACATTATTCGGAAGAAGACTAACAAGGAAACATAAACTATTCTGTGTATGATACTCGAACAATAAAGCTAACCACTAAAGACAAAATCACCAAGAATTACAAAGGTCAGGGCAGCTCTAAATGCCAAAAGAGTTATGCGTGAAAGTAACCAACGGGAATATAAACCAACCAACAACCCAAAGGAAGAGACTGAACCAAGAATGCTCGTCCACCTAATAAAAGTAAACACCGCTCAACCGAGAACATCCTCGGACACAGAGAGAAATACTATAACAAACAAAGAAGAGCGATCACTCCATCAAACTCGGAGACCACAGAGCAGTACCAGTGGAGGATGGTTCAATATAATAGTTGGATGAGAAATATAAAAGGTGAGTTCCACCAATAACTAATTATGCACAACAAAGAAACCGCAGGCTGAGACGCAATCCGAAAAAGGAACAAACCATAACGAAGCCTAACTTCTCAAATAGAAGTTAGTTAACGAATAAGTCGGATGCTGGGAATACATTCCACAGTGCACCACAGAAAGACCAATGAGGTCCCAAAAGGTTATTTTCTAACAAACCAGCTGAATCAATACATATAGAGCACCTTGATACCTATGCAAACTTGAGCAGTTTTTGGAGAAGTCTTCAGCTACTGATGATGACTTCTCAGCTAATGGAAAACCATTTTGAGCCTCTTTTCAAGCTGAGTGACCAGATAGACAGCCAACTCATCGAAAAATTAGAAACTTGCCCTGAATTCCGATATTTTCGCGCCTGCGAGTTTCACCTACTTCACAGCTAGGTAGCCTAGTTCAAGTGCAGTGTCTGTTGGGCAAAAAAGAGTCTGTTGTGTATTTGTGAATCAAGAGGCTGTATTCTATTATTTTACGCTGGGACGCTGCTCGATGTTCGGTATTGGTCAGACACCTAATTCAAAAGAATGAAAACTTTGTCAAAACCGTTGGTATCTTTGGGGCGTGGAACCCAGTGGTTTCCGTTGTTGCAAGGGCTGTGGCCATGTGTACTATTCAGGCCTATTTTTTGTTTTGAGCAACTGGCATCGTTTCACATTTATTTATTATTGATTCCCATTTCAGAAGTGAAAAGAACTTTTGGAATGATTATAACGGAGGCTGAGATCGCGGCATTCCAACGCACTGCAATAGAATGCTTTCGACGCACGAAGACAAAATACACACCAGAATACTGGATACCAATACAGTGGGCTCAGCGACTCATACTCAAAGCCTTATACTCTGGGTACATCTTAGACCCAAAAACAGCCTACTACCTAATTGATGTAAGTTTATTTGAAATATTATAACGTTGAACGTGCGGTGGAGGACATTTATCTAGTAGGTACAGCGCTGCTCACAATAGGAATAAGCGATATTTGCATTGGTATTTGAGGTTACCATTTCAGTAGTTACTTTTTTTGGCAAATGTTTCGGTGCCAATCGAGGCGACGCCATCAGTATTTTTTTATACACCAAGACTGTGCTCTGCGTCAATTGAAGTGACTTCGCGTCACTGACGCTCCGTACAGCCTTGCCAGCGTCAAATCACTATGGTCTCAGTTGGTGGTGAGATGCTTGTAACCACTTTGTCAGGTTAAGTGGACAGAACAAATTAACAGAATTAGTTATTTGACAGAAATGCACATATAGTCACCTGTCGGAGAAAATAATTCGCCACTCTGCCTGTCTTCCCTCAGGATTATAATAAAAATAGCAAAAAGGACGTCTTTTCCCATGGCTTATTGCGAAACATCCGATACCAAGGATCAGACCAATCAACGTTATAATGGTTTTCGTCTACATTTTCTCCCTTTTTCGAGACGTGCGCGGTCAGTCTTATAATTATACTATGATGATGCATCACTTGTTCTGGTCTACCGGAGCATAAACGCTCAGAATTCAGGTTGTTGGTTAAACCATCGGCTGATGCTGATGGACCTTGGCCTGTCGTATCGATCTTAAAACCTTTTTAACATGAAATTCATCCGTTTTCTACGGAGGGTGAACTTTGGCAGGATCAAAAGCTGCATAGGAGAATACGTAAGTGACCCTCAGAGATTACCTATTTTTGTCACGGCTGCTATAGTACCAAGGCTTCGCATGCAAAATGCATAGATAGTGTACGTTAATGCATTCTAGCTGCACTGTATTTCAGAGGCCCATCGAGTCTGACAAATCCCCAATTTCTCTACGGCGTGTGATCATGTTTCAGAGCGTTTGGCACTAAAGTGCTTGGACTATTGATGGGCGACCAATAACAGGTATCAAGCAGGTTAATCTTTGTTCTGCTCCACTTGTTGTACATGGAAGTCTTAGCCCAAGTGATTATTTGATACTTATTTTGGTCAGGCAGCGAGTGAATCCACGAACAGATCTCAAAATCGCACAAATGAAGAATTTATTGTCTCTGGAATACCACATAAGATTATCTTTGAATCAACTAGTCCTTCTAGGAAGTGTTGTATCGATTTTGGGCTCTATTGATATAATTTAAAAGCAGTAGTGTCTGTCGAACAGCAATGGACTGTCGTCACTTAATCCAACAAGAAACTATAACGGTGTAATCCACCTCACCTTTAATACCTTGTAATATTGAAAAGAAACCCACTTAAAAAGACCGAAGTTTTACGATTGTTTTATAGCCAGCCTACATATTGTTTTGACTTCACCAAAGGTATTCTACTGTTGTATAGAGACAAATTGGCCACTGTGCCACCCGTGGCGATTCTCTATCGCTGTAAACCATTGTCACTGGTGCTCCGTTGCCTGTGTTTCTCTTTTTACAGTTGGACTAATATGGCTGAAGGATATTTCTAGCTCAGAAGGCGACCGAATATTTTCGTTAGACAAGTGGGCGAAAACTTTCGTTTCCCACCTCAAATGGTTCAACTTCTTGATTTCAGATAATGTAGTGTTTGGTTAATCAACATCAGGGACGTTACTACCATTTTCAGTGAATCAGTTGTAATAAGTGCGTCTTCATTACGAAAAGTTGACCGTGGTAACAGCGCAATAATTTACACTGAATCTGGTGGATCACTAAAAGTAAAGTGATTCATTAGTTTGATGCACAAGATTTTAAACTAGCAACTTACCGCGATCCAAACTATGACCCGGAAGCTGTTGGTTTATACAGTCGTCCCCACATACTACAATAAGATATATTGTTAGCGGCAATAGGTGCATGATTACCATGCTGTGTTAAGTAATATTAAAAGTCTGCAAAATTGGGTGCACAATTCAAATAAAGAAACCGCTCATGTTGTTCAGCAGGTGTGCTCCATATATCCGGTCTACTGAGGCACGGTTTGAAAGTTAGCAGCAGTAAATTGCGTATCCTTCCCATAACTTCAAATCTCGCAACAAAAACCAGTTGGGGACCAGCCAATGCAATTTAATTTNAGGTTTGGTTTGAAAGTTAGCAGCAGTAAATTGCGTATCCTTCCCATAACTTCAAATCTCGCAACAAAAACCAGTTGGGGACCAGCCAATGCAATTTAATTTATACGTTTATATATTTACGTATACAAAGTGACTCGGTGACAATGGTCTTTTTCTTCATGGCAGCAAGTCGGTGACCTCCGAAAACAGATGCAAGATCTTCAAATTTTCAGCAGTATTATGATTCCTCTGGTATACACACAGGTGAGCTGATTTATCTGTTTGTCATGCTGCAACGATTTTAAACAATGTTATCCGGGTTTCACCATGACTACTTTTGAATGAACCCTGGTTCAACAGGTCAGCTGAAGTTTGTTAGTTTTTCTTGACTATTTTCCGACCACATCAATAGTCTCCCTTTCTTTTGGACAACCAGACGACGCAGTAAAGTTGGATATGTTGTTAATTTATACGATAAGTTTGTTTCCTGAAAGCCGTGATTTCATGATGAGAGTTAAAACACACCTTTGTTTTGTCTACTATGTGAAAGCGATCGCTTCCTAGTCTTTGGGAGATCTTCTGTATTCAAGGTATCAGAGATTTATAATCAGGTTGTTAGGCCCGCACCGGGTCTCCTTACAGAGAAGAGGTCGGTGTTTTGTTTCACGGACTGAATTCCTAGCGTGCTCTCTTTCTTAGGCTAGTTATGATTTTAGAGAAAATCTTGCCGCACTCAAAGCGTTTTTATCCTAAAGTATATCGTATCATACCTGTACCCTTCTTCATCGGTGGGGTTGAGAAGACCAAAATGTCGGGTTGTAGTCTAATAAGCCAATTAAGACTACTTTCATTGTACTTCTGTTCACTCAGCTTATATTCTCTGCAATATACTCTGCAATGATAAAGCATGTGTGATTATTGTCAGTTATTTAATGAATTAATAACTAATTAGAAAAACTTTATAATTTTTCTAGCTTTGTATGTCAGCATTCTAGGAATGAACTTTCTCAGAATTCAAACTTTTAGTTTCTGTTAAAAGATTTTGCTCCTAGAAACAGGCTGTCATCCGGTAGACCGTTTTGCTAACCGTGTATCATGTTCTGTTCCCAGACGTCGGTGTGTCAATCGATTAGATGGTTACTCCGCAAAAGAACTGTCCTGCTTGGCGAAATTAACATCCAGTAACAATCACACATATACTTCGTACATGTATACATATATATTCCGAAATGTAAATCAGGCATTCAGATTTTATACTGCTGCCTAAATGTAGACCTTTGCTTTAAAAGGAGTTAACACAGCTTGGGCTTTGCAGTGAGAAACTACCCGATCGAAATAAAGAAAGCATTACCATTGGGGATAATGTTTGTGACTTAGGTAGTGGTATTTGATTTGCTTTCTGTGTTAGTTTATTCCACTAATGAGTTCCATCGACAATCGATTTGCGTCTTAGAAAACGATGCGCCAATAACCGTGGCTAAATAGCATTTTATTCTTTTTCGAGTTGGTCTGCGCTGCTTGTGCAGGTAGCAAAACAGGATTTGCTGAAGAATACTGCTAGTATTATTCTACAATGGAGGTGGTAGGCAAATTTTTATGTCGGTTTACTGAAATGGCATATTCCACTGGGTACAGATTTACTCCACACTCAAATAATCGACTACCGTTTATTCATCGCTCAGTCTAAACTGTATTTCTTCCTCTTGTTCAAGGTGGTGATTATCGCTGTGTACAGTTACTTCCTGTGTCAGATATTCGCGTGCCAGTTTGTTCAAAATCGGGAGGGAGCAAAGGAGAACAAAATCGACTTGTACATCCCAATTTTCAGCATATTTTCGTTTCTCTTCCTCATGGGATGGCTAAAAGTAAGTTGTAAACTGAAGATCAACTTGCAGGTACTTATCCATAGGTGGTGACAAAAGTCTCCACTGTTTCGTACCAAAAAGAGCTGGAGAACAGTGAAACTCTTGTTAGTATATCTTTTAGTTTAACAGCTGAATCGCGGTATAAATCTTTTGTAGGTTATGCTCATGACCAAACACACGTTGCAAAGTAGAAATGGGGGACTTAATGCCATGAAATTCCCCACTGAATGTACAGCTCATGGCCAAGCATGTCAGTGAAATCCTTGAGTAGACATTGGTGAATCACACGAAAGAAGCCTAAATTCTCATGAAGTAACTTACTCACAAGGTTGCTGAAAACTCTCCAAAAGCCCATGGCCAGTTTCACCCTTATTGGGTTCATCAGGTAGGAGCGGTTCTCTAGTTCTTGTGTTCTGCATAAACTCATATTTAGAATGAGTGCCTATGGCTTCTTACCTGTCTGTTCAAGAAATTGATCTCCGTGGAAATATACTGCGATCTTTCGAAAATTGTACTAACTGAAATATGAGGTGACCTTTTGGCAGCACATTTATTGGAAGAACACCTTAAACGATACGTAGAGTTCAGTCTCCCGTGAAAACCGGATCGATATGCAAATGGGTGGGTTTGTCGAGCCTTAATTCTTAAACGATACGTAGAGTTCAGTCTCCCGTGAAAACCGGATCGATATGCAAATGAGTGCGATTGTCGAAGCCTTAATTGTCTCTAATTATTCACGAAACCAGGCAAAACCTTTTTATCTACACTCTCTCATACTCCACTGTTCGATGGCTACTGTAAACATTGCGAAATTGCCTGAACTCTCAGTATACAAACAACGATTTGGCAAACGAACCCATAAAGATAAAAATAGGGGACATGGTGAACTGATTTGGCGCATGTCGAAAGGCACCTTCGACATATTTGTCATATCTGATAAAAATGGAAACAGGAATCCCGATTTTATCAGCTTATTGTAGCGACAGAATTACTGCAGTGAAACTGTCTGCGTAATCACGCAAACGTACGCTGGTTTGCCTTACCAATAGAGTGTAATGGCAGTACAAAATGACGGTTTCTGAACCTCAGGAAATCCGTATTACCAACATGATGCCGTGGGATTTCACAACCTTTATTTATGAAGCGGCTATACCGGAACCCAAACTGCCTGACAAGTGGAGTGTGGCTACACCTTCGCTGGTATTTGCTACAGGTCAGCCCCCAAAGGTTGACTTTATTCTTTCCCATTTTCGTCCGTTTATAGGTGTTGCATCTTATGTATATTAATAGAAGCGACAAGCCGGAAAAACATTTAGACCGAGTAGCTTCTCCTTATTGATGGTAGTTCAGCTTTGTTAGCGGCGCATAAGTTTCTACTCAGCCAGTCACCTGGAATCCGTGTTCGAAAAAGCTCGTTCGTATGTAGCCTAGCTGGTTCATTGCAGCACTAAATCGTGACCACCAAGTCTACGGCAGCTTTTAGTCGAGATATATATACATAGAAATATAAATATATGTCTTAATTATTCGGTTGCAGTGCTACATTGATTCTTTAGGTCACACACTTTAGCCGTACCAGAAATTTCTACAGCGTGCAGCGTGACAAACGGCGCCAAGTCCGCGTACTGTCAAGTGGTATTACTAAGCTTTTTCAGGGTAATTTAGTATTTTACGCTAAAACAGGAGTATAAGCACACAGAGACGCAAGTGTTTAGTATTCCCAGCGATGTTGCCTTCTCACGAAAAGAAAAGGTTTATAGGAGATCAGCCCTAATCAGCGAATTCCGGATGCCCAACTGTTGGCTGTGACTGAGGAGACATCACCCAGTGCCATCAAGAACACTCAAGAAACAAATAAGTTGGGGCTTTTTGGAAGGCATCCTATGTACTCTGGCCTAATGAGAACTCGAATTCCATGCTTTACTGCAGGCTTCCCCTTTCTGGCCCACCCAAGTACGGTTCTGTACATCAATCCTTGAGGTTGATGGCATGAGGGTCCGGAAATTACCTCTAGTCCTCGCACACAAAGCCGGCTGCATAGAGTAGAGATTCCCTTGTCTGTGGTGCGGAACCTAAAGCATGAGGATTCTGTTGAATAATGGAAAGAATGATGGCCTGAAAGGAAAACCACTTTTTTGCAAACGAACTTACATGCCCCAGGGTAGAACTCGGCGCGTTGAGTGGGACTCAGACGGATGACTAAGGAAAACTGATGGCAGCTGGTAAAGGTTATATGTCCTACTGGGGTGAAAAATAGAAGACCGAAGTGAACGCGGTAACATTTGCAGCTTCACATTTGACTGGACGAATACTGGGGGAATCAAACTGCATAAACTTGAGCCTGATGGCCATCCGACTCCGGATGTCAAAAAAAGTATTTGCCACGTTTAGCACTGCCGGTGTTCTCACAATGCCAGCCAGGTGAGACAAAGAAGAGAAACAGAGATCACTTGTCACATGTCCAGATGTTCATTTCGGAACCAAGCAAAACTAAATGGATCTTTGAGAAGCCCGTTTCGGATACACGTTCAACTGATGTCTACCCGAGAGAATAAAAACAGGATCATGATATTGTTCCGACCACCACAGGAAAATGCTGTACCAGAAATATCGAGACGAAATTGTGACTCTATCCGGAATATATGTTTGGAGGCTTTGCTCAGCAGAAGTTCGTAGCGAAAACTTCTGCCTCAACGTTGGCAGTCACTTTGATTCGGTTCCGATGACTGACAATATTCTCTTACTAATGGATTTCAGATATCGGTCGAGATCATCCTCCGTGTTCTCGAAAGCGATGGTATCCGAACTGTGGATGCCTACGACGATTATTTTTGAAAACATGTCTCAGACAACTGGACACCTCAACAAGCACACAGTGCCACACTAATCCGCTCAGCTGTGCTGCTTCTTTCGTGAGACTTTCCATGGATATGCAGCGCATGAGTGATATGAGTGGCCAACTGACTAAAGGCAGTCTGACATCTAGCCACACTATGTAAACTTGGCCAATATAGGCATAAAACTTGACAGTAAACCTCTCAAACATCCCAGAACTGTGTCCTTCGAAATGACAGTACATCCAGCCAGCTCACAGGACTCCCTACTTGCGGCGAAAAGAGAATTTCGCAAATATCTGAAAGTTATATATGTATCAAGGTTCCCAGGTTGCTGGCATGGAGACAAAGGAGGCTTCACCTGATCAGATATTGCGGATGTGCCGTAAGCACTACAATAAACGTTGGAACAGACCTATGGGCGTTGACAAGAATGAGAGAGTGGATTGGCTGCTCCAAGGACGGAAAACTGCTCCTGGACATTCCTCCGACCATAGCAGAAATACGGTAGGCGAATATGCAGTTGCAGAATAGCAATGTAGCTTGACAAGTCATTTCCACAGCAGATCGATTCGCTTAAAGTCCCCTCACTCCAGAGAAGGTATTTCTTCGACTGACCAACACAATCTGTCAGCAAGAAGTTCTAACGGAATTAAAAGTTGATTTAGTCGTGCCACAGACAATTACAGAGTCGATGAAGTGCTTAGCCGCGCGACAAAGCCCATTACACCACCGCTATTCAGCCACCTGGAAAACATGTAAAGGTGATTGTGAATGCAACTTTTGTGAACGACAGTGCTGATGTGCAGTTCAAGTATAAATTTGATGGACGTTGGTTTATTCCTAAATGTTTTGGCTCGGAGTCTGACTTACACAGCCAAGATCCGCATTCTTATGTTCACGGATGATGAGTTAGTGTCCACACATACGCATGAATAGGGTTGACATCAAGCTGGAAATTTTCTGATTACCGTTGCGCATTTCGACCTGAGTATCAACACGTGAAAGTTTGTTTTGCAACAACCTACGCCAGATGAAATTTCAGCTAGTTCTCAATGAACCGAGACTATGGTAGATTTTGTGGACTGGGATGTGGACTTCTGCTACCTCCGAAGCGATTTACGTGATGGCTTAACCGTCGGCTGTGGACTGAGATCTCGTGGTGCCAAGTCTAGTGTGGCTTTCGGCAAACTCAACGAACGGATGTGGGTAAGCCGAAGCCGATAACTGAAGAAGAACCGTCAAGTCCGATGGTCGGTGCTCTTACCCGTCCCTTTGTATTGTACTGAAGCATTAGCTAACGCGATTCTGATACTTTTGCAGACTTCATATGCATTGCTGAACAGATGCCTTACACGGAGATCCCCCTAAGGATCGTTGTGATGTGATAGAGACCACCATTACACATGTCTATCCACTGGTGCTAGTGTTGAGGTTCCAAAGCAGCCTCAGTATGGTAGGCCGAATACAAAATAACGGTATCCTTACAGATAGAAGCTTCGATACCAGGACATGATTTAAAAAGCTGAGAGCTGCCGACGAGAATTTCATGAACTAGGAAAGAAAGGCAAATAAAATGACGGCGTGGAGCAAAATTATTCGTGAAGGCATGAGTTTGTCATTTCAGCTATTGAGCTCTTTAATCCAGCAACCTGAAACCTGCATGGCAAAACGGCATCACTGGAGCTGTTGGACTCTGGGACCCAACCAACTGTATCTGCAGCCACTGTGGCCGTGTTTATGCCGGTCTTACTGGTCGGCCGCCACCAAACACACAGTGATCCGTCAGCAAAACGTCGGCAACGACTCTCGTGAGACGAATTAATTTGCACCATGACCAACCACAGAGCCTTTCTTCAACTTATTATTAGCGCAAGTCCCTGGTCTGTCCAAAGCAAATAGAGTTGAGTTCAACTACCTGGTCATTTTTCTTGGCATCCGCGAATCTCCAAATTTTTAGTTTGGATGTCCCACGGTGTTAGAACTTTCACGGTGCTAAAAGTGATTTACCGTGAACATAACTGTTTCGACCGGATTTAGAAATAGTATTTAGCCACATATGTACGACCAGGACTTGTAAGAGTAACGATAACTCTCAGCAAACAGGAACGTGTACAAAATCCATAACAGAACCTTTGTCTGTTGGTGGAGGCGTGTTCACAGATCTGAGCTGAAGTGATAAATATTGGACGGTTCATATAGACTAGGTCCTGCAAATTCATACTTAGCCAAGAAGATCCATGTAAGATAGGCAGATGAAACGACGCGGCTTTGAAAGAATAAAAGAATAATGTTACAGCTCACAGTCAAGCAAAACTTATATTATTCTGCCTGTAAATATGACAAAGCCTCTCCATTTGGCAGTACCTGGTTTTATAGGCACACGCCGACTTTGCTGCAGGTGTGTTCCGCAATCGTCTAATCGCAAAGGGCGGTAATGCATGAGGTTAGCTGTATAACTCTCATAAGCCACAGAGTTATTAGCGCACAAGCAACTGAAAAGGATGTGTATAAGGGGACGGTAGTGGTGAGCAAACAATTCTTTGTCAAACTTTATCTATTTCTCAGGTTGCATTATGCGTTATGAATCCGTTCGGTGACGACGATGAGGATTTTCAAACGTCAAGCATCCTGGACTACAACCTTGAAGTCAGTTTCAGATCCGTTTACATGGATGGCGTTTCCTTCCCCCAATATCTTTCTTTTCCATTGGGCAAAAAGGCTCCGAATGAGGAAGATGACCTTGAAAAGTTTTTGGAGGACATTGACTGTGACCTGAACAGGCAAATGGATCATCCCATTGAGAACAAGTAGGTAACAATTATGTTCAACGTATGAGATGATCATTAGGGCTGCCGAATAATTATTAGTTAAATAATACAGTGAGACAATGAAGACGTCGAAATGTCGAACTTCGACTCTATTTTTTTCAGGAGCAGGGCCGTGTTCTTTGTGGACCTCAATGGTGTCTGAGTACGTGGGCTAATGCAACTAATTTGGGAAGCGCGGTGGACATGATAGCCACAACATAGCTTCGACGGTACATTCCTGAGAGCCGAACAAAGACATCAAATCATACCCACATTCAGAACATCTATTAAATTTTCGAAAACAGTCCAAAGAGAATTTTGGTGACAGCAATGTTTCCATTCTGAGGAACAGATTATTCCTAAGCGGACGTCCTCAGTTTACCTGGTCAGCAGTTTCACTGAACAGCATATTTTGTCCTGTAACACGCTCATTGGAATAATGCTGCTTGTGTGCAAGTATTCAGAATTATTTGTTTGAACGGTTACTCAATCTCCTGTACCATCGAAGTTTCACAACCTAATACCGATTAGTTTTGTTGAGAATAAACCTCGTGAGGAAGAATGAAACCACGGTGTAACTATAAATTAGGTCGTCATTTTGAGCACTTGGGAAAAATATCTCTCCATGGGATGGAAAACCGACTCAGGCGGATACTCAGGCGATAAATGCTTGCTTAATTTGAACACCGGCTTTCCTTCAAGATCTTGTCACGCTCAGACTAAATTTGTAATGTATTTTTGAAGCATCAAAAATTTCATTTTGTTTTCATTTAGCCAGCGGTTCGTAAATGTTATGGGGCAAACCCACTAAAAGTACATTTTCACACGCTAAGTGTCGCTCATTGTACATGAATAATAGGACTTGGGCCATATAAATCTATTCGGACAGGACATATTCTGACTACTGCTAACAATAACAATGGTTCAGCTGTAACACCCTTTTGGCGCCTAGCTGCCATGATACCACAAGAATTCATGAGGGCCCGGCTACTGCCAAGTCGCCCAAGGCTAAACAGGAGAATTTGAGGTACACAAGTTGGGTTCGAACCACGGATCTTCCTGTCGGTAAATTCGCACTGTAACAACTGAACGATATCTTCCCCTTTCCAACTGCTGGAGATAACTACTATACTACTTTGTTCTGGTTTAGCCTGATAGGTTGATTTTTTAGTGCAATAGACGTTTCAGAGGTTTAATATCGTGATGAATGGCTCTGATTCACACTCTACCATATTAAACTGAGATCCTATTGTGTGTTTTATTGTTAGTCTACTGAATCGCGATTTCTAGAAAGATCTTGAATACGTACACAGTGAACTTGCCTATCTGCTGGAATTATTTCTAACCACCGCGGTATCACGGCGAAGACTATCCGAAATTGTTTGACCAGCCGCTCACAAGTTGGATATTACTTGCCGGATGCCTGACTATGTGTTAAACCCAACGACCGCTAACCGTCCACTGACTGAATAGAAGCCATGTAATTTTATTATGGACCTGCACTACCATTTACTCCATCTATAAATCTGAGGATAGCTCTTTGTATGAAATGCAACATTTCGTTGCCGTGGGCACACAGAAATGTTATAAAACAACGGTACAGTACCTCAGTGCACTGTCTCCTCACTATATCGAAGGTGGATCCTGTTATGTCTAAAAGAAACGCTGGACTGGCAAACTTGCCGTCTTGTTGGCCACCCAGATAAGATCTTGTAAAGTATACCATCTTGACTACCGGAAGAAGTGGCAATCAAAATGCTATCAAAGCCGTGATGACAGCTACCATTAAGCGTACATCTTAGGGTCGAATTATTTTGTTACACGCAGAAAAAAGAAGTTTTAGTCAGATAACTCGACGCAGTATTGATTATCCGTTTTTGTTATGAGAAATACAAGCAACCTTATCTTATTCCAGTGTCTGTAATTTGGAAATGAAGCCAACAAGGTTGAGCCGATGCAAGAATTGTCTTTGCTGCAATAAGCAACAACCAGCAGCGCCGAGTAAGTTATCAGTTGACTTGTTTATCTGCCTGATGAAAAACTTCGTTTAATATCAGCATCACTTCTGGCATTGTATGGTTCATAATCCCAGTATGGTTGTTAGAAGACAGCGTTCACTAGACTGTTTGAAAATGTTTAAAAATGTTTCATACGTTATTGTGTTGTCTTTTTTCACTGCTAGAAGTTCTGTGTCGTGAACTAATTTTTAAAATTTAGTATATGCCGTAACTCTCAGTAAAAAAGACATATTAGTCTACGGCAACAAAGAAGTTGGAATAAACCTAGTACGCCATTGGAGTACAAAATTTTGCCACAGAAGTCAAGCTCGACTTCACTTTGTTGAACCTGGTGAAAAAGCCTTTACCAACCATCTAAAGGGTCTGCGCATTCCACCTGTAATCCCAAGACAGTGGTCTTGATAATGTTGCCAAAAGTGTTTGGGCTCTCATTCCCGGGGGAGCGTTCTCTGGGATTCGTCAGATAGTGCTGACCCTCAGTTCTCAAATCCTGATTTAGCACCCGAGCATCCAGATAGAATCAGATATTTGATTGCAATGTATTGTTGTGTTAACCAGGTACGTAGCTGAATCCCTAGTTGTCACAACTACGTTTTTTGGCCTTGGAAAACATTGATCAGCCTTCGGTATATTGGTTGGGTAACAAGATTGTATCTATGCTGAAATAACCTTGATACTGAACCCTTTCCCACAGGGCTGATTATCACTGACGCTGATACCAGTAAGTGATGTCATAAAACTACCCAGCTTCGTCCTTTTGTCCATCATCTTTTTGGAAACGTGTTCCAGCGTCGATTCAAGCAAACTTTCCGAAAATCATTGCCAAGTTGTTTGTCCCATGGTAAAATGTTTAGGTAGCACATGGCCTCCATGTCAACTGAAGAGCAGTTTCCATCAATATACGTTAAACATCGTCGGTAAGCAAACCCATAATTACTAAAATATTTATCAAAAGAACCGAATTACGGACAAATAAGGAGAGAAAAGTGATTGTGGTATAAATGTGAGACCATTTCGTTCAGTGAGCAAGATAAAATGTTGAAACCTGCGCGATTTTTAAAACATATGAAAACTCGTATTGGACTTGGTCCCGGATTAAGTGCCCTTTCACAGGGAAGGTCTACATATGTATGCATGGATGATAGAACAAATGTAGGACCGCTGGTGAAAAGATTCAGAATGGTGAAATGCAAAAATGAGCATGTTCTAATCGAAATACTCTCACTGAAACGCTAAGTTTCATTAAGAGGATGCAGCTGCACAATGATACTGTACAGATCCCTCTGCCAATAATACAATGTAGCAGGAACAGACTACCAGACAAGATGCTATACAGGCACTTAATACAAGTGAGCGGAAGTGAATTCTTAAGGTTTTAATAGCGCTCTTAGACCATGCGGTGAACGTTTACTTTCATCATAGCTTTCTTATGCGGTCTCATGTCTATTTGACCGTTTGTCTGAAAATTTTAATAGCGCTCTTAAACCATGCGGTGAACGTTTACTTTCATCATAGCTTTCTTATGCGGTCTCATGTCTATTTGACCGTTTTGTCTGAAAAGCATTCCGGTATATTCTTGGTCTTTTAGTTTAGCCACCACTTGCTAGTTAGCATTCGTACATGAAGAAGCCGCTCCTTAACCAAACATTTTTGAGCATTCCAGTTGCATGTAGAAGTTTTGTTCTGTAGTGAGATGTCGATTTGCTAACCCATATGGTGGTTAACCTTCTAAATCGTAATTGTTTCTACATCAATCTTCTACCACTGTGGTCCATCTGTTCAGTAGATCTTTTTGACAACTTTCCTAAACGTGCATTTGACATCCTGTGTGAACATAACAAAGTCTAAATGGTGCTGGAAACTAAACCCGTCTAACTTTGATGGGCTGTTTGTGCGTGGAACATTAATCATCCGCCTTGAAGCTTAAAAATTGGGATCGGCTATCGCCAGTTTACTCCCATCATTAACATCTTAGACAACGACGTCAGCGTAATAAAACTGATGCTAACTGGCTGATTCAGCCTGATTACAAGTTTGTTGCTAGGGTATTCAACCTTATCTGCTGACATAAACAAAATTAAGGCCAACAAAGGTACCATTTTTGTTTAGATCCAAACGTTTCTGTTCAAGTCAGCAATCTTACTTCGAAGTAGAGCCAGAGTAGCCCATTCAACTTGAAGCCGGATCAGTGTAGTCAGTTGTGGAAAAATCGAAAAACGGAAAATCAAAAAGGCGGCTTTATCAACCTTTATATTATTTGTCCCAATGGGAAAAATTCGAAGGTGATCTTCAATCAGTGTGCGTGGATGTTTCCTCTCTTCGGATAATGAACCTGAGAGGGTATTAGCCCAGGTGCAAGACAAGATGTAAAGCATACATCCTTGAAAGCCAAGAAATAGCAAAAGCCGACCTCGGAAGGAAAACACAGATAGTAGGACAAACGCAGCTGCTGAAAATAGACCTGTATTGATGACGAAAGTATCCCAATAATTATTGCTGATTGTGATGGTGCGTGTTACACTCTTTATCAGAACGTTACCTAACCTGAACTGAAGAAGTTAAAATTTGTTTCAAATTTCAGAGCTGTAGTGGTGCCAATGTTAATAGAAAGTTAGGACCACAAGCAATTTAAAAAAAAATACTGGATGCTTCTTCTAGTATGGGGTGGTACTGAAGGTGAAGTCGGCTGTATGGATATAGTTACTTTCGTGAAATTATCAATAAAAACTCAGAGGGTCTCAGTCGGATTTAGGATTCACTAAAATGATGAACTATAAAAAGATGCTGTGCATGCATTTACATCGAGTTGCTAAATAACAGCAGGAGACAGAAGCATTTTAAAATCCTAATGCACATAAGTAAAAATTACCTATGTTCCTGATAGATAGAGTCATTTAAGAACGTACTAATTATGCAGAGCAGCTTTATTAAATGGCTGGTTGACAATTCCGCGCAAATTACTCAAACGGGTAGTTAAATATTACTTTACATAAAAGCTGCTCTGTTGGTTGGTCGATTTGTGCGCCTGCAGGCGTTGGTCATTCTAAAATTGTCCCCCTAGACAGACCAGCTCCAAAATATTCAGGTATCCAAGCATTACCACAGGGACTATTTCTTTGTTTTGCAAGACTCTACAAGGACATTTTAAACCTGATCACTGCATCCACTTACATATATGTCTTCCAAGTCAGGAGCTTCTTGTAGTAAAATACCCACTCCCCCAAACCCCGGACTTCAACATTGGAGTGGCTAGCACAACACACACCCTTGATAGTAAATAAAGACATTTTTGCAGTCTCTAATGGGTTTTTTCAAAATTCAGGAAAGGTTAAGTATAGATGATATTTTAACTAAGTTCTGTCTGTCTGCGTTTGCGAACGCCAGGTTCTAAAAAAAAGAAAGGAGGGAGGTAATATACACGCTCGGAGAATATTGGTTGTAGGGAGAGATGTGAATTTTCGGCCTTCCAGATTCATAAAATTTTCGGGTAAGTCAATTTGAATGAAGGAGTGTCGTCAGAAAATATCTAAACCACATAACTTTCCATCTGTTTCTGTGGAAACAGGTGTGCACATCATGTGCCACTTGAAACGCGGATCATCCTGGCGGATAATAAATCTACTGGTTGAGTAAAAAGGATAAGTGCCCTTTCACTAAGCGTATTCAAACCTTCGATTAAAACTGAAAACGGATTATCACTCCTGCGTTCAGTAGTTGATAGTACTAATCCAGTTGACAACAGTTTGCCGCGAGCAAGTAATCTTTCATTGCACCCAACCACGGGTTAGCTTAATACAAGTGAGTTTCACTCCAAGCTACCCACTAGTCCGGACATAAAAATACCAGTGTCAGTATTTAGAACAGTTTCGTGCAGTATGAAGTCTTGACACAAAACCTGTACACGTGGCCGATAACTAAAAAGTTCATGGCCTATCAAGAAAAGTAAACATTTTTTCATAGTCATCAAAAATATTGTATCTCAGAAACGTTTGGATAAAAAGACAGTACTATGAGATGCAAGTATGGATAAAAGATTTTCTACGTAGTATTTATATATATGCATATAACATGAATGACAATCATCCCAAATTGATCTGCCGCTCAAGGGTGGGTAAGCCACCGGATTGAACCTGCACATAGTTGAGGGCCGTAGACCGGATGCGCCGAGCCGATTGTGGTAGTGATTGCAAGACCCAAACTCCGACGTGGACCGGGGAGATCGTAACTGGCAAATGAATTCTTAAGGATATCGTATTTTTTAATCATATTTACGACCGATGTTAAAAGGAATATCGAAATGCCATTTCGGTGTATTAGTGAGCAGAATGACCAAGTGAACTGTTCAGATGTTTGTATATCGGAAGAAGACAGCAGAAAAGTACAGCAACCAACCTATGAGCCAAAAAAGAGCAGAAACAAAATGCAGTTCAGTGAAATTCAGGCGGGCAAAAAAATTTCTCCCATCGCGTACTTTAAGACACCAGAAATGATGTCAGAAGTAGCTTGAAGTGAAAAGCTGCAACGATAACGGGAATATTAAACTCAACCAATTATACGGATGGTCCTTTCGTACATCAGTAACATATCTGAATTCACACCAAGGCTAAAACCAGCGAAAGAACTCTGAATAGCTCATAAACTAGGTGCCACAATAAGGAACCTGATTTCAGTAAGAAAGGACAAGAACAAGGAAGGTTCAAGAAGTAACGTTGTGCACCAAAGCAACTGCAAGGATTGTAACGAATAGTATACTAGACAAACTTGGGGAGAACTCTCCGTATGGATGAAGAAGCAAAACGTGGCTAGTGAAAGATGTGAGCCATTGTCTCGTATTTCAATATATAAAGATCAGAAAGGACGCAAATTTCACCTAAAAGCGTGAAGATCGTAGCATCAGAAGTAGAAGACACGAAAAAGAACCTTCGGAAAAATGATTACTCGCAAAGGATCCCGTCAATCGGCACATCGAAATTGACCTTGTTTAAGCACCTCTACGAGTGAAAAACCTCCAACTCACTTCTGCCACTGAGCCAGCCTCGGTCACTGAGTAAACTGGTTTAGAAACGGGAATCAACATGGAGGCAAATGAACCCGGAGATGTGAAGTCTCAACCATAAAGTAAATCAACCGACTGGCCATAAGGAGTGCTGGCCTACCTCTAGCCATGTATGCGCAAAAACTACTTACTTCCTACCTCAACGCATTTCCAGTCAACTCACTGATGACGTCATTGTGACTGGTGATGAAACTTTTTGTTACCAAAATGCTAAGCCCAGCGGACAAACCACCACCAGAAGAAAGCTTAATAACTGGTACGGCAGTAAATCCTCAGGCTAATGTTATCCATTGATCTCTGTTCCTGACTGTACTCGCATAATCTGAATTTTTAAACCATTAGGGGCCAGCGGTGCCCGACCCAGTGCGCACTTACTCAACCGGGATTTTCACAGCCTCATATGAGGACACCAAGGTACATAGCCGGAAGCGAAGTCATAGTTGTATAAGTCTACAAAATCATTAACGGATGATAAAGTAGATTTGAGGGACCGATATTCAGCCAAACAGTGAGGCTTTTCACCAAGTATGAACGCTGATCTGGACTGTTCAATCAAAAGAACATAGTTATTCAAGTCTGTACTACAAATTGAAAGAATGTGTATAGCTCCTAAATAACTAGATGCCACCTTGGGATGAAAACACTAGATTCTCTAAGCTAGATAT